GATACAGGAGTACCCTCGGTTACCTCAATGCAAGCCGATGGTGTCGATGTCTCATCCATGGATCAAATTCGTCATCATCTCCTGAGGGGCGATCGAGACAAGGCTGTTTGGGCTCTTGTTGATAAACGACTTTGGGGTCACGCCATGCTGATCTCACATACCGTGGAAGGCGATCTTTATAAACGCGTGGCACAGGAATTTGTTCGTAAAGAAGTCAACTACCCTGGTCACGCCAACGAGTCTATGGCTGCGCTGTACAAGATTCTTTCTGGAAACCTTGAAGATTGCGTGGATGAATTAGTTCCTGTTCATGCCCGGGCTGGTCTTCAACTGGTATCCACTGGCGGGGGCTCAGGACCTACCAAGGATACACTCGACGGACTGGACAAGTGGAGAGAGACTCTTTCTCTTGTCCTAAGCAACCGAAGCACCGATGATATCCAAGGATTGAATGCCCTCGGAAATCTTCTCTCTAGCTATGGGCGAGCTGAAGCAGCCCACATTTGCTTCATCTTTGGCCGCCATGCGTCTATTTTCGGTGGTCTTGACGACCCCAACGCCAATTTCGTGCTAATTGGAGCTGATCATAGGCAACAGTCTGACCAATTTGCCAAGGAAACAGAGGCACTCCAGCTCAGCGAGGTCTACGAGTATGGCCTGTCTCTTGCAGGAGGAGCTCTTGCAGCCGCAGGCACACCCCATCTTGCTGCCTACAAGCTTGAACATGCAATGACTCTTGCTGAGTACGGCCACCGGGATAAGGCCATGCAGTACTGCGACGCCATCTTGACAGCAATTTCCTCCCAAACTAAGCGATCGCCATACCATCATCATGTTCTCGAGACTGCAGTTGAAGACTTCATGTTGAGATTGAAGCAGGCGCCGAAGGAGGAGAGTGGCTCATGGATTTCCAAGCCAAGCATGAATAAGGTCTCGGATAGCATGTGGAACCGATTCAACAAGTTCGTCGCAGGTGATGATAACGAGGAGAATAATGGAGGTACTGGGGAGACAGGACCGTTTAATCGCCCCTCTGGAGAGTTTAGTCGTTCACCTTCGGTTTCTAACTTTGACATCTATGGTCAACAGTCACCTAGCTTCGGCATGACACCTGCTCAACCATCGGCAAGCATTGCAGCATCCAAATACGCGCCGAATATTTCGACGCCCGCTGCTTCCGCGAACCTTTACTCTCCCACATCTCAGTACACACCTGGACGAAGTTCTACCGAATATGCCCCTAACTCATACGAGCCTTCCTACCCTGGTGCTGCCTCGACTGACCGAGGTGAAGGCTACACCCCTTCCATTCCTCAGTCTGAGCCTACCAGTGCCGGCCTTGGTGGACCGGCAGGCCTTGCACCAGCTGCTCAAATTACGCAAGGTTACTCTCCTGCTGGATACCAGCCCTATGGAATGCCAGCATTGACGCCAATGGGCAACGACGACACGCCTGCCGATAGTTCGTCACAGGGGTTCCAGCCTCTTAGTTACGGATACGAGCCACCTCAAATGTCCTCAAACCCGCCTGAGCAGGCAAGTGAGCACAATACTGGAGAGAACGGTAATGTCGGCTACGAGCCGCCTTCATTCCAGCCTTACGGTTACGAGCCTCCATCATACGAGCCTCAGTCTACTGCTGAGGATGACGATGAGCAGCCTAAGCCTAAGAAGAAGAGTTTTATGGATGATGACGACGACAGTTTCCCTTCCATGAAACAGACCGAGAAGTCAAAGGCGGAGAAGGACCGGGAGAACGACGAGATGTTCCGCAAGGCTGCAGAGGAGGATGGTAAGTTTTCTTTTCTTATCGATATGTTACATAGCTAACAAGTTGAACAGCCAAGCGCGCAGCTGCCCAGCAGTCGTCCAAGAAGGGCTGGGGCTTCGGCGGCTGGTTTGGTGGTAGCAAGAAAGCGCCCCTTGAGCAGACCTCCTCTGGCGATTCTTCTCCTGGCAAGCCCATTCGGGCGAAGCTGGGTGAGGCCAGCAGCTTTATATACGACCCTGAACTAAAGCGATGGGTCAATAAGAAGCCAGGCGCCGAAAACACACCAGCCAAGACTGCTACACCTCCACCCCCCAGGGCTGGCCCTCGTTCTGTCTCTGGAACCCCCCCGCCTCCCACTGCCACTCCTCCTCCACCTTTGGTAACGAGCAATAGTGCGCCGCCACCCCTCATGCCCCCCAAAGTCCGAGGTGGAACACCAGAACTGTCCAAGCAGGTATCGACGGAGAGCCTGGGCCTCGCACCCCCTGCTATGGCTCGATCCGTTTCCAACACTAGCAATGCCAGCGCACCACCCAGTCGGCCAACGACAAGCATGAGCAATGCTAGTAGCATCGACGATTTACTCAGCGTGGCACCTCGCAAAGCTAGTGACAAGAAGAAGCCACGAAAGGGTGGTCGATATGTCGATGTCATGGCCAAGTAAGGCACGAACAGATGCTATTCGTTTGGATTGGAAACACCGAGTCAATCTCAGGCGTTCTTGTTGGGATTCGTGCTAGGAACGAATCGATCTGTATTAATAGTTAGACTGTTGTTGCGTTTTGTATTTCTGCGATGGTTTGAATTGTAGGAGCGCTGGCCTGGGGCTTTAGCAGCGACTGTACACAAAGTATTGAGGAAGCGGACGAGTTGATATGTTTTGGATCAGGAAGAGAATAGACCCTAATGCTACCGTCGAGACATGATTACGACTCGAGGAGATATTCGACAAAGAACAATAATACGATGAAGAATTCTGCCGTTGAATCTTTTGTTGATTAGTTACTGTGTGCTTTGACAGACATACACTTTTGACTGAACGCCCAACTTAATGCCAACATCTTAGAAATCGCTACTTAGGTCCAACGCCTGAAACATAAAAGGTCAACATTCATGTTGATGTGTTTCACATACTATATGACTGTACATAGTACTGGCACTGTTAGCACATAATCGATGGGACTGAGGGCAAAAAAAGGGCCAACTCACTGTCACGACAGAGTCTTCCGCTGTAGCATCATCGTGCTGGGGCACATAGACGTAGAGAATCAACGCATGGTCGTCAGCAAAACAGGCAATGACCCTGCCTTCCAAGCGACCAACACTAAGGACACGGCTCCAGTCCTTGCCATCGACACGTACAGTCGCCCAATGATTGGGACCGCCTTCTCGAAACTTGGTACTCGGATGCTCCTCCACGAGACAATCGAGCTGTGCGGGGTCAAGCTCTGGGTTTTCGAGATTAGACCACACACTACAGATATCTGTGGTCTCGGTTGCGATCCGTAGTCGTAGACCACCGTGCATATTGGCGCTAAGCTCAAGTTTCGGTGATTTCGTATTGGCGGAAGAGCCAGAGTTAGAGGCCATAGCAAGCTTGGTGAAGCGGTCCGAGATGGCCTTGAGCTGAAGAAGAGGGGGCAGTTGAATGTGGACATCTGGTTCTCGCACTCGAGGCTGCATGATAGTCTCAACTGTTTCGGGGTGGAGCACACGCACGGGTATGTCCTGAGTAATGATCTTCTCATGCTCCCGTCTCAATGAAGTCTCGAGGTGCTCTGCCTGAAACATTTCGTCGTCATCGAAAGGGTCATCACCAGCGGCTGTTCCTGAAGGTTTCGCGGCCCCGGGCGGGTTGGTAGCTGACGTAGTCGTGGTGATAGTCATGGAAAGAACTGGCAGACCGTCTTTCTTTGTGAGGCGTAAGGAAGCAGATATACTGTTCAGCGCAGACTTGAGGGCGCGTTGGAGTGGCTGAAGAGGAAGCTCCAAGTTAATAGTATTGCCTGCCTCGGCGGACTGAATGTGATAGCCATCAAAGATGAAGTCCATGGCAAGAGACCTTGATATTTATGAGCAAGTACATAAGACAGCCACCTCGGTAAGGTACCTAGGTCGGTAAGAAGGAAGAACACATACGCCCATACTTGAGATCCCATGTCTGGGATGACGGTGAATCGTGCAGTATCATCGCTCAAGCGCAACCAGGCAATCTTCTCAAGAGAGCCAAGTGCAGCTGTAAGCTCTGTGATCAGGATTAACAAAGCGTGCCCGACAAAAGAAAGAGAGAGTGATAGAAAGACTCAGGAATGTGTGTAGAAGGACTCACTTGCGAATGTGCGAATATTCTTCAGCTCTGTACGAAAACGCATGTTGAGGAGTCGCAATGATAGAAATGGTGCAAGTAAATGGAAGGGGTGGAATTGTACGCCGTAATAATAAGTGGTGTAAATGCGAATTGTGGGTCCAGGCCACCATCAAGAGGTAGGAATTCTGATCTTTATACAGAGGCATATTCACTTGGGAGAAATCATACGAACTTGCGCCTAGATAATTCATAAGTCTTTACTATCTTGATTCATATATATAGAAATCCACTTATATATTTTAAACAATAGCGCCTATAAACCTTGTAGGTATTTACAACAAACACACATGAGAGACAACACTAAGTGCAATAAAATACCTGGGTACCTCAGTTCTTCCCAAGTACTAAAGTAAGGTAGGTAGGATAATTGCAAGATATGGAAACAGCTCCTTGCACGGTAACTTATCCAGGTTCATCAGTAGTACCTAGTCAAGCCCCATGGAATGTGCCAATGGCGCCCTCGAATGGTGTTAAGAGAGGCAGGATATCTTCCCGTTTGGGGGGATTAAAACTTCCTTCCCTGCATCGACAAAACATCTGCACGACAATAAAGAAGAAGGCTCTTCCCAAATAAGACAGCGAAAGGAGAGTGTGTCCATCGCTCGATCGAGGGAAGCAAGCATACCTACCTTAAGCCAGTAGGTAGGTAGTACCTGGGTACTAGGTAATGTAGGTACCTTATATACCTGTAAAATAGACCTCTTGATTTAGAACTCTCCTTTTCTTCTTCATCATCATCATCATCATCATCAAAACACATCGTCAAGATCATCACAACTACCATATTTTACACACAAACTCTCACTTAATTGTCCGTTCGCTCATCACCCCAGACGCTATGAGCAATTCCAACACTCAAACATGGACACTGCGAAAGCACCCAGTGTCATTGGTTCCGGGCAACACCTGCGGCGCGAAGACATGCCTCCTGTTTCCCAAGTCTCCGAGGTTAAAAATCCAGTCGCTGCTCCATCCTCAGTCCCAGCTGAAGAAAATACTGGCAACGAAGCAAAGAAATGCCTCTTCAAGCGAATCTGGAGCAAAGCCAAAGGGCGACTACGTCCGAAAAAACCAAAAAATGAGGAAAGTCGCTTGTTTATTCATAGTGTACGACAACTACCTCCTGCCCACCAGCGTGGACCGTCAGATTCCTCAGGTTTTGTAAATTTGGGAAGGCAAGATCCCAGGGCTTGCGATCCAAAAGTGGTGAAATATCCTGATTCAGGCTCGACTCGCTGTGTCATGTGCAATGCGCAACTCCATGACTCTACCAGGGATTCTGGCAGTTGGAAACGCTGCGAGACTCGAGTCTATCTTCCTTGCGGTCATTCATTTGGCCACCGTTGTTTGCACAATTACCTGAACGAACGTCTAAGCTCTCGGACTCTAGATAGCGACGCCATCATTGTTGGAGGGGAGCATTACTGTCCCATGGGGGGTTGTATCCCCATTCGACACGAGTGTGACCACCTTGCTATTCCAACACTCGAAGAGCCCCAACCCAGGTACGAAGACCAAGAGAGCCAAATTATACCGCGAGAATGTGACTTTTGTTCATCTGATCCATGCGCCAAAAGGAGGATTAACCGCAAGGAAGAATATTCCAAGAAAATGATCCCATCGCCACGTCCAAGGCAACATACCTATCTACCAGAGAGTATGGTTTCTCGTGCCACAAAGGCCTAGCGCGCCTGGTACGAATGGAAGTTCCTTAGGATCAACCGATTGTTGGATGACAAATGGCTTTCATTTCGCAAACAGCATTTTCAGGCATGCGAGGCACGCCGATACCACACAAGGTCGAATATCGTCAAAGAGTCCCCGACAAACGGGGATCCTGAGAAAGTAAACGCTGGCAGACGATCCATTGGTGCCCCTGAGATTGCAATCCCCCCGGGTCAGCAAGAGCAGAGTGACCTGCCCACAGGCCCAAGCCCCGAGATGAGAGAAAACCGAAGCCAAACTAAAACAATAAAGCAAAAGACAGCTGAAACCTCTTCAGCAGTCGGGAACACTGTCGATCCTAATGCGATCACTCCTGTTGAAGCTCCCACTTCGTGGGATCTACTTGAAGTCGCTGAGCAACCCCCTTTCAAAGTTCCTATACCAGGAGCGACGGGCAGCTCTGCTGTGGGGGCAGCATCAACTAATGGCACCGTAGGAAGCAAGAACAGGAGGAATTCCACAGCCACCAATGGCACTGCGCCTCGATTGCCTGTGCACATGGCTACCTCGCAACAAGAACTGGGCTCTATCGACAAAAAGACCAATGTTGGTCCCGAGGGAGATGTGACTGAGAAAGTATCCCAGGTAGTAGTGACACTCCCTGATCCACCGAAGGATGATCCGAAGAAGTCAGCCAAAGAAACAGAGCCGACAGCAGAGGGGAAAAGGAAAGTTGCTCAGCCGATAGCCTCATGACCACATTCTAGCTTCTGTATCGAGCGGAGGACTTGGCTATGGCGGTGGCATCAAGGACCTGGGTTTTTCTCTTTCACTTTCGAATAATGGCTGTAGATTCCGTTGTTGGTTGTGCCTTTGAAACTGGTGCGATTTTGGAATCTTGGATAAAGAGCGATACAGTTTTAGCGATATGATTTTGACGATTCAGACAGCGGTACAAGCGATGAATGAATAACAATCTAAGTCACATAGGCCTATGAAGAATACTGTCAGACAATAAGCTGCACGTCATGTTTCATCACTGGAGAATACTATGTGCGTGAGTGTTGTTCGACAGGTATTACTAAATTCATTTGATCAGCCATTTCCACATCTCGGCGAGATAGACTCAGGCAACTCAGGCAACTCGGGGTATACTTGGATTAATCGAGAAACGATATTAATAAAACTGCCGACTTGAATGCCTTGTCCTAAATTAATCTAAGCATTTCAGAACTTCAAGTCAAACTAAATATTTCTGCTGTCGCCTCACAGATACTCTCTGCCTGACATGCATCCACATACGTAAAGTTTTGCATAAATCCGAACTAAAGGTGCAAGAAACGTATTGAATTGTAACATTATGACCTAAAATTGTTCCTTGCAAGCCGGTCTGGCTCATCGTCGCTATCATCTCTAAAACCCTCTTCAAGACTGCAAACATGATGTCAGTCACCACTATTGTAGATAGGGCGTGCAACAAAGGTTCTGGGTTGCTAAACAGCAGCACTTACTCTCTACTTAACCGCCTAGCATTGTCTGGCCGTGCAGCACGAGTATCAGCCTCCATCTGGCGCCACGTATCCTCGTCGACGCTCCCAAGTTCCTCTCCATCATCGTCTTCCAGACCGTCATCGGAGACGTCCTCGGATGCGAATGCGACTGCGCGATTGGAGCGCCAGGTGGCTATTCGGGACGTTATGCGCTGTCGCAGAGACGATGTTTGAGAAGAGAGTGTATCGAGCGGTAGGTACTGGCTGTAGCGGGCATATCGGCGCCAGAGGGGAATGAGGACGTAGGTGAGGAGGATGAAGAGTATCAAGGAGATGACGGCGGGAACAATGAGCGTCTAGCGGATGTCAGTAGGAGGGGAGCAAATGAGCAAGTTGTCATGATGTATTTGTTACCTTAATAACGGACATGGTAGCGCCCATGTTCTATATATCGGAATCTAAGACGACAGTCTTGCAGTCCGGCTCAGCAAGGTTCGAGGCCGGAAATGTCACGATGTTGAAGCTGGAGGATGCCGTGATCGCCCTGAGGCTACAGCGGGAAACGTGGCTGAAGCCACAAGGGCCCAGCGGGAGGTGACGACGCCGAAGATCCCGCTAAAAGGGGCGGGCCAACAGAACCGGGCATCACTAACGGCCATGCACAGTATTTTTCTAGAACGATCTCAACCTGACAATCAGCAACAGGTATTTACATATTCCCCTAATTCCTTAAGGGATGATAGTTTTGTTCTCGTATTGCTTACCCGAGTAGCTATTAATAATTCCCTGTCTGGGTTAGTACCTACTAACCTAGTACCGACCTACTATGTAAAAGCATAGAGTTAGGTGTACCTATCTTTCAACTCTCTGCATTGGATAAGGTAGTACCCAATTGATCGTAGGTAGGTAGCCTCACATTTACTACATTGTATCAATCGCCAGCACTTCAACACGCGCCATTAATTTAGCGTATCGCTCTTCACCTGTGTATACATAATCTTCCATCTTCATGGGACACGTCACCATGGTATGCTATCTCAGCCATTCATCCACTGATATACGGCAATCAGAAACTGGCAGTGGACGGAACTGGGGATTCGAGACAGCCGACCTCGCTTAAGAATCAAGAATAAAATCGAAAAAGATCTTTTGTCTTGAGATCTAGTTAGGGAACGGACGGACATGTAGGTCCCGATCATCCTGACACGGAGGAGAGATGCTCAGAGTCGCAGTAGGGAACTTGAGACAAATGCGTGATTCTATGAGTAATTAATACTTTGGCTTCTGAAAGATACCTTGATAAAGAAGTTACTGGTATTTATTTTGGGTCCTGGGTTATTAAAATGAATGGCCGTGTAACTGATCTCATGGTTCGAGGATTGTTACACGTTGGCGCAGCTGAAAACCCCAACTAAGAATAGCCATGAACCATTTATACGACGATGATATTGGTTCGCAGCTGACAGACGGTCAGACCGCATATGTCTTATTAATTGCGCCAAATCACAGTGAGATCCATTTGATCCCAGTACGACTTGTGGTTGTGCGACTCCTCACTGAAATGTAAGGTAACTCAAATGTCCCAAGTCTCTGGTGTTGGGTCGTGAGCAGTTTGGTCTTTGGATGTAATCATCACTTAACAGTGGAGGGAGGTTCTTTCTGTGAGTGTAGCTGTCTCCAGGCTCTCTTTAAGCTCCAAGTTCTTCAACTTGGTTTCTTTCCAGGTTGACATACGTCTGCGCGTCCTCAATCTACAGAGCCCACTCCCCCTGGCAGATCTCCTGAGGCTACCTTAGGTAGAGAAAACTCCCCGCCTGGCGTCGATGCTAGAAAAGTGCCTCTCAGACCAGTCACAGGGCTGCTTGAGCATAATGAGCATGCATGCATACATGGTCATACTATATAATATTATTCCCGAGGAAATTCACTAATATTACAACATAGCTGTCTGTACTCGCTGATTTAACTGTAACGACTTTTGTAATAATAACAAATTTATTACGCTACCTACCTATCTATCAAGTGTCAAGATATCCAATATATGTCTCTCGCTTTGGGCCTTTGCATGGGCTCTCAACCTAAGCTCAAGCGGCGGCTAAGCAATATTAGGCCCATAATCCCCGTAAACAAATGGACCAATCCACATTCATCTTGATAGACCCTCGGCTTGGTCCTCAGATCCCTGATCATAGAAGGATCCATTGGAAGCCAAGCCATTCCCATCTCTGGCTGGGCTGGGCTGGCTACTGGTACGGAGTACACTGCTACACCACACTGCAACGACCTACCTAACTCTAACGTTATACAACGCTTGACCTGACTGCAGCTGTGCAGTGAGTGACACGCTACGCTCCTTTATTCACACCATTTCGACTTAATTCGGGTTGCAATTCAACTAATTTTGTTTTGTTCTATTCTGTTCTGGCACTTCTCATTGAAACATTCCGTCTGCATCATCTATCCAAAGCCCAAGCTTAGGCCCTTTTCTTTGTCTTGTACCTTACTCTACCCCCTCCCTATCTACGCCGGTTTCTTCACACTCAACCAAACTCCAGACGACCAAGGTTTCAAGACCGACCATAGCGCTTCCGCCGATTCGACTGACGCTCCGGACCCCGAATAACCTCAATATCTTCCTGAACGGCGATATCGTGCCCCCGATGAAGCGAGCGGCCCTGGGCCAGCACATCGCCAACTTCACGTGTTCAATTTGGTAGCCGTTGGCAAACGTTTCCCCAGGCTCATCGAAACCCTGGCACCTCCTTTTTTCCCTTACTGTACACCCCGGATCGACACCAACATTATCTTCGAAATACGATTCGCAAACTAAACCCTCCGCTTCGACGACTGTCGCGGCCACGACCGCTCTGTCACACCTATCGCCGTCGCCGTCGCCGTCGCCGTCGCCATGTCTGACAAGACGAGGCAGTCTTCTGGCGGCCGGTCTTTATTCTCACGAAGTAAGCACAAAGACAAGCGCTTGACCGAAGAATCGAGATACCCCGCAGACGATGCCGCCAGTTTTCGCTCCTCGCGCCACAAACGAGAGTCGTCTGCCATTTCGCTGGATCGCCCAGAATCTTCTGATGGCGGTATCAACCAGATGGCGGGCGTAATTACGTCGATACCCTATGATGCCGTTGGAGGAGGATCACGCTCTCCCATACCTGTCGAGTATCTGCCCAAGGGCGAGCAGATGCCAGTGCGCCGTGAACCTCTCCCGCACCACCTGAACAAAAGTGGCCTGGACTTTCACCAATACCCGAGCTGGGATGGGACATCAGCACAGTCTGGTGCCCACTCCCCCGGGCGACAACCTCTTGGTTATGGATATGGCAATGTTACTATGGCTTCAACGGGCCGTCAGACCCAATATCAGCAATGGGGTCCGCCTAGGGGCAGCTCTTCCCACTCGAATAATCCTCCCAACCCTCGATACGACTCATATATGTCATCTAATGCTCGGGGCTCGGCTGATAACCTGAGCATTCAGTCAGGTAATCCAGGTTTCATTGATGGAAGGATATCACGCTCACAAAATGTAGCTATGCCCAGTGCCTCTTCTCAAAGCTCTTATGCTGCTTCTCAGCACTCGAACCGCGATTCTCACCGGTTTACCAAATTTCCGTCTGGGCCCCCTCCAGGACAAAGCGATCCACAGGGTGGTTTCTATTTCCCAAAACCAGACGACGATAATGTGGTCGAACAGATGTTCCTCCAGCTAATGCAGAAGCGAGGATGGCACAATCTCCCTGAGCAGGCCAGGAGACAGATGATGGCATACCCCGCCCAGAAGAAGTGGACGCTGATCTATCAGGATCGACTTACTGAATGGCAAGGCGAGCAGAAGCGCCGACAAACAGCACGCCCGAACCAGTATACTGCGACTCCCGATATCACGACGTACTCAGACGAAGAAGGCACTCCTGAATGGTATGTGCGGCGAGTTATGGAGGATCGCCTTGACACGAAAGGTATGGGAAGTTTGGAAGTCAATTTGCGAACACAACAAATTGGTTGGGTCAAAAGATTCGTCGAGTGTCAGGGACAGGTCGCTCTGATGACCTTGCTGCTTAAGATCAACCGCAGGACAGCACAGGGACCAGTCCAGGATAACACCCGTATCGACAAGAACCTCGATCGCGAGTACGACATTATCAAGTGTGTAAAGGCGCTTATGAACAACAAATTCGGCGCCGACGATGCCTTGATCCACCAAAAGGTCATGGTAGCCCTTGCTAGCTCTCTTATATCTCCTCGTCTCACCACGCGGAAGCTTGTCAGCGAGATCATAACCTTCCTATGCACCTGGGGAGAGAATGCCGAAGGTCATCTGAAGGTCATTCAGGCGCTGGACGAGGTTAAGACCGCATCTGGAGAAAATGGCCGATTCGATGCTTGGATGCGTTTGGTGGAGGTCACCATTGATGGTAGGGGCAAGATGGGAAGTTTGGTCGGTGCCAGCGAAGAATTGAGGACTGGAGGTATTGGGATGGAGAACTTGCTTATGGAATACGCCGTTGCGACTCTCATGCTCGTCAACATGATCATTGATTCGCCCGAGAGAGATCTGGAGTTGAGGATACACATTCGAGCCCAGTTTACAGCATGTGGTATCAAGCGAATCTTGACGAAGATGGAGGAGTTCCAATACGAACTCTTGGACAAGCAGATTGAACGGTTCAGAACAAACGAAGCCATTGACTATGAGGATATGCTTGAGAGGGAGAATAGCAGTATCAAGGACGATGTCGAAGGCGAGGTCAAGGATCTGACTGACCCCGTTCAAATCGCCGATGCTATCCAGCAGCGTCTTCATGGTACAAAGACCAATGACTACTTCATTTCGGCCCTGCAGCATCTTATGCTCATCCGAGCTAATGATGGCGAGGAGCGCCTGCGCATGTTCCAGTTGGTCGATTCCATGCTTAGCTACGTTGCCATGGATCGGCGACTGCCGAACATGGATCTCAAGCAGAGTCTCAACTTCACGGTTCAAAGTCTCCTTGACAAATTGCATACAGACTCAGAAGCGAGGCAAGCCCAGGATGAGGCTCTCGAGTCGCGACAAATCGCCGAGGCCGCGATGGCTGAGCGCGATGAGATGAAGGCTCAGCTTGAGCTGGGGGCTGATGGCCTGGTTGCCAAATTACAGAAGCAACTGGACGAGCAATCTCGATTCATTGACGCTCAAAGAAGACAGGCAGACGGTCTCAAAGCCGAATTGGACAGTATGCAAACTATGAGAGCCAAGGAAGCCCAGCGATATGAGTTGGAAACAAGAGAGCTATACCTGATGCTTCGAGATGCGCAGGACGTAGCTGCTTCCAAGGCGATCAAAAGCGCTGCGGCTGCTAGCGCCAGCGCCAGCACCAGCAGCAAGGTGACTGCCCCTGAGGATCCTGCTCGTATGCAGGGTATCCTGGATCGCGAACGCCTCATGGAGCGGTTACAGATGCAGATCGAGCGGCAGAAGACACAATACAAGCTTGAGGGACGTGTTTGGGGAGACGCTGTTGGGCCTTCAGACCGTCTTCGAGCCCTGCGCGAAGAGATGGACGACAGGCCTGGAACACCTCCTGGTGGTGGTACGCCTCCCCGGGACTTCACCAACAGCGTTCTGGGCAGCATCCACCGCAATACCAAGATTCCACGCAAGCCCCTTAAGAGACGCTCTGATGGTGAAGTGATCGATGAGGACGACGAGACTGAGGGCGAGGACGGTGTCATCTTCGAGAAGCCCAGAATCGTCGAGATGAAGCGACCTACGATAGACCCCAAGCAGCAAGCTGGCTTGCTTGGTGAGATTGGTTCCAAGGTCAAGAAGTTCGATGCCAGTGATTCTGAGGATGACACTACCGGTCCTTCTCACCCTAGTATGGAGACTTCATCACCCATTACTCCCCCAGGTGATAGTGAAACTCCCAAAATCGAAGTCACTGGTGCTGCTCCTCCACCTCCGCCGCCACCTCCACCACCTCCAATGCCCGGTCAAATACCCGGAGCTCCGCCGCCTCCTCCTCCTCCGCCTCCGCCCATGCCGGGCCAGATTCCTGGTGCCCCTCCGCCTCCGCCCCCCTTGCCTGGCATGTTGATGCCAGGTGGTGGACCTCCTCCTCCCCCACCACCGCCTCCGTTGCCTGGTGCTGGAGGTATGCCTCCTCCCCCACCTCCTCCTTTGCCTGGTGCTATGTCTGGGCACTTCTTGGCTCGACAACCCGCTTTCGGGGCTGCACCAAGCATTGGCCTGCCAGTGGTTCGTCCCAAGAAGAAGCTCAAGGCCCTGCATTGGGAGAAGGTCGATGCTCCTGAGACTAGTCACTGGGCAGCCCATACACCCTCTGCCGAAGCCCGAGAGGAGAAGTATCAGGAGCTCAGCAAGAAGGGTATTCTAGACGAGGTTGAGAAACTGTTCATGGCTAAGGAGATCAAGAAGATTGGTATAGGAAGCTCTTCTAAGAAGGATGACAAGAAGCAAATCATCTCTTCTGATCTCCGCAAGGCCTATGGTAAGTGCATGCTCTTTTATGCACACTTTCTTTACCTGCTAATACTGTACAGAAATTGCCTTCGCCAAGTTTTCACAGTACTCTGTCGAAAAGGTTGTTCAAATGATCATTCACTGCGATCCAGAGATTCTAGACAACACTGTAGTGATGGACTTTTTACAGAAGGACGACCTCTGTAATATCCCCGACAACACAGTCAAGCAAATGGCACCGTACAGCAAGGACTGGACTGGACCTGATGCCAAGTCTCAAGACCGTGAACTTGATCCCTCGGAGCTCACTCGACAAGATCAGCTTTACCTCTACACGGCTTTTGAGTTACACCACTACTGGAAGAGTCGAATGAGGGCCCTTGCTCTTACTAGAAGCTTTGAGCAAGAGTACGAAGAGATTAACGAGAAGATCCGACAGGTTGTGACAGTATCTGAGTCGCTACGCGATTCCGTTTCATTGATGAACGTTCTTGGCCTTATTTTGGATATTGGTAATTACATGAACGATGCGAACAAGCAAGCACGTGGTTTCAAGCTCAGCTCCCTTGCAAGATTGGGTATGGTCAAGGACGACAAAAACGAGTCAACGTTGGCCGATCTCGTGGAACGTATTGTACGGAACCAATACCCTGAGTGGGAGACATTTGCAGATGATATCAACGGAGTCATGACGGCACAGAAGATCAACATTGAGCAGCTTCAGGCGGATGCGAAGAAGTACATCGACAATATTCGAAACATTCAAATGTCGTTGGATTCTGGTAATCTAAGCGACCCCAAGCAGTTCCATCCCCAGGACCGAGTGAGTCAAATCGTCCAACGCATTATGAAGGAAGCCAGAAGAAAATCCGAACAGATGGAGCTGTACTTGGAAGAGATGATGAAGACATACAAGGATATCATGGTGTTCTACGGCGAGGACCCCGCAGATGATGGTGCCCGCCGAGATTTCTTTGCCAAGTTGGCATTGTTCGTGGGAGAGTGGAAGAAGTCTCGTGACAAGAACGTGCAGGTGGAAGAGACAAGGAAGCGTAACGAGGCGTCAATGAAACGGAAGCATACAGCACAACTCAAACTTACCAACGCCAACGCCGAGGCAGGGCCCACGTCTCCATCCAATACCGGCGCCATGGACTCCCTCCTGGAGAAGCTACGTGCAGCTGCGCCGCAAGCTCGGGACCAGAGAGACCGAAGAAGGCGTGCGCGACTCAAGGACCGTCACCAGGTCCGCGTCGCGTCAGGACAAAAGATTCCAGACCTCGACGAAATCCCAGAAGTGGAAGCTGGCCTCAAGAACAAGGAGGAACCAGCCGAAGACGACACTAAAGTGCTCAGCCCCGGCCTCTCATCACCTCGTGAAGGTGAAGACGACGTTGCCGATAGAGCAGCAGCTCTTTTACAAGGCATGCGCGGTGGCGATGGCGCAGATGACAACGATCCCGAGAGGAGAGAAACCCTTCGAAAAGCCAGACGGCAAACAGCAGAGGAAGAGAGGAGGCTACGAAGACGGCGAAGAGAAAGGGCGACCACAAATCAGCCAGAAGAGAACCCCGACGAGCAAAAGGAAGAACCCAGGGAAGAGCCAAAGATAGAAGAAGGAGAGGCAGCCAAAGAGCCGCCGAAGGAAGAAGAAGTGCCTATAGAAGATGATATTCCAACACCTAGAGCAGCGACTACCAGCGACGGTGCCCCAGAGGAAGAGCAAGGGGAAAAGGCATAGGCAGGGCATGGCAGGGCATGCATGGTACAGGCACGAGGATGAGATGGATGGGTGGTGTTTGTGATTCGAGATGCATACCAATGGTGTTGGGACCTTGTTTAGGAGTGGAAAGATCGCGTTTGTATGTATTGCACGCGCTATACGTAATGTCTACACCAACAAATACAGTGGAAGAGAGAGTACTTTAACAATTTGTGTATCACGGTGATCTTGATATTGCAGTACGTACTGGTCGCAGGTGACAGTCAGAGCTTGAGTACCCTGACTCAGCTAGGAGTGGCTTTACCTATCGTATTTCAACACAAGTTCTGCCTTTGGGCATGTCCTTGTCCGTCTGATAGGACACAAGAAGCGTGCCGGTTTCCATGCTGTTCAAGCTCGATCGCATGCAGGTGCTTGTGCCCCTTTCATCCTTGACCTTGGCCTCGACAACGTTTTCCGTCATTCAGCTGTCCCAGAGTCTCTTCCACCCAAGATTGCTTCCTCCCATCATGATTCGAGGTTTCCGTTGACGCTATGTCGCTAACCAGTCGCTGCTTATTCAATGTTTTGTCGGGGGAACGGCGAATAGACTGCCGAGGCGGCAGAAACCACCAGCGACATGCCCCATGAGACCAATGCATACTTCCTGAATCAGAACAGAGCAGTCTTTCAAGAGATGGTAGAAGTAAGCAGCGCGTCCGACTTCGAGTGCCAGGAACGAGAGAATCGTAAAGAATTGAACACGGCCCTGATAAATGTCCGGAAATATCTCTCGCAAGAAGAATATGAAAGTAAGTACACTAATGGACAAGGCCGTGGTTAGAATGAACCACCGATTTGGGTCATCACGAGCCGGCCACAGGGCCAGAATGTACCACCACCATTTGCGACGAGGCTTACGGCGAAGACGGTCACCACGGGCTGGCCATACGGCCTTGGCATACCACCACCAGCTGTGACAAGGCCTATGGTAAGTGTGCTTGCCAGCGGCTGCCCGGGGAGTAGCTTCAACAACTTTGCTAACGGCTGATCGACCGGTATGATTTTCGCGTCTTGATCGTATGAGCTCTTCAGGTGTAGGAGTAGCGGGTCGACATATCCAGTTCCACAAAATGGTGAGGACTATGTGGATGGCTGTTATACTGAGTACGAGACTCTCAAAAGAGGAGAAGAATGGCGCAAGGATGGCCATGGCGAGGCCGATGTATATATATATTCTGCGGAAGCTTGTGCCGGCTCGTGATAGTGGAGGAGTTTGTCGTAAAGGTTGAATTAGGCACAGCCTTGAGGTGGTCGAAGTCAAGCCCTGAACAAAGCGACAGAACAACGAGAAAGTAAGGCTGAGAATGCATTACACATGCATGATACTGTAAACTTTGATGTTCCACATAATTATTATACCTCTGCGATCGTTTGGCAGGGAGACTAATCCATCCAAACGCCAAGGCACAACCTTAAAAAAGTGCCAGTTGTCCTCACGGAGATCGTAACTCGCACTGCATTGACGCCGCCTAGCCAGCACGCTCAGCGTGATGGACTCAGAGGCCTGTTGAATCCGCCGTTCCTGTTCATGTACTGACGATACTCCGTCTTCTTCTCTTTGTGCACACCACCAGCATTGTTGCCTGAAACCTTCTTGTTCTTGGTCGTTCCAAATCCGCCGAAGCCCATCATAGCCTGCATAGCGGCCATATCGTCGTCTTCTGCATCCATAGGATCTGCTTCAACTTCTGAAGCCTGGCCCTCTTCCGAGCGGTTGCTTTCCTCTTCACGCTGCGCGCGTGATGGCGGCGCCGGTGAGCGGCTTGCGCGAGAGCCGACGTTGAAGGACATATTTGGTGCCGGGCGCTTTGCGTCGGAGCGAGGGCGTGTTGGAAGTGCTTCATGAGTAGGGCTTTGTGATTGTGGTGACGCTGAGCGACGAGATTTGTCTGCATAGCAAGTTAGTTTTTCATAACGTTGAAATGACTGTGTGGGTGCATACTTCGTTTGTCTCTATCGTCGTCACGACGCTCGTCTCTTCTCTGTCTTGGTGGCGCATCCTCTGCATCCTCTCTCCGTCTATCCCCCCTGTCTCGATCATCATGATGGCGCGGGCCTCTATCCCTAGGTCGGTTCCTATCACCATCTCGGTCTCGATGTCTCCTGTCTGGCGATCTCGATCGATCTCTGTATCCACGGCGCTCGCGTGATCTCGACCTGTACCCTCTGCGATCGCGGTCGTTGTCCCTATTATGTCCTCCACGCCTATCGCGTCTGTCTGATTCGTCCCACATTTGACGACTATCGGGTCGCCTGCTTCGCCTAGAGTCTCCCATTTTGTGTGTGCTGTGGATTTTGATTCCGGTTTTGAGAATTTGCTGATGATGTTGAGATATTGACAGTGTTAGGTGAAGAATGCATCCAACAAGTTCTAGAAAGAGGAAGGCTGAAACAAGATAACTTTTAAGTGTGGTTCCAGTTTCGAGTGGCGGTGGCTGGTGAAGCTTTATCATTGGCCCGAGCTCTCGTGGACCCTGGATCGTTCTCCAACTCTCAGCCTTGCGTCGTCATATCAATTCGCTCCTCCTACGTGTTCTCTGGAGCTTGTTCTCACACAATTCACCCAATGAGGAATTGAATTCTCTAGGATTCGCTCAAAAAAAAAAAAAACATTTATCTCAGTTTCTCTTCTAGAGGCTTGTGATAAACACTTTTCATCATCAGTATGGTGAAAATTGCCCATTGGGTGTCGGCGGCGACACTCGCTCTGGGCGTCTCAGCCGCAGACGATGCATCTTCTGTGCTGACGACAGAAATCGGCCGTCAAAACAACCAGAGCCTCTTTTGGGGCCCCTACAAATCCAATCTGTACTTTGGTGTGCGACCACGAACACCAGATGGCCTATGGACAGGGCTCATGTGGGGGAAAGTCGATAACTACCATGATATTCAGAATGGTAAGTGAACTCACAAGCTTCGTGATTTAAATGCTCTGACACTTGCTTTCAAGGTTTCAGATATACCTGCGAGCAGGGAGAAGATATGCATGGCTACGGATGGGATGAGTACGATGCCCGCATAGGCGGTGTGCAGTCTATTCACGACAAGGGCAACAACATCGACTTGACGACTACTTTTGTAAAGATCCCCGGTGGAAACCATGGTGGCAGCTGGGCTGCCCGAATCAAGGGCGAGCTGCGAGACGGTGCCCCCAAAAACACCAGGACTATGCTGTTCTATTACATCGCCCAGGATGGTCAGGGCGAACTTGCTGTGGAAGGTGAGGGTACCAAGTATGGTTTTGAAGACGATGTTACTCTCAAGGGCAGTTCAACGACGCTAGGAGACTACAAGCTTCTCATCACAAAGGGTACCGGAGAGCACCCTTCAACAGACCACAAGTTTCTGGAAGATCGACATGGCGACACAACCATCGTCTCGAGTACTGAGGTCCCAGCCGACCTTACCTGGCAGGGCAAGCCCGTTGTCTTCAAGCAACTGCAAGATGCCGTTTCGCCCGTGCAGCAGAATGCTGACCAGGAAGATCCACCTCCACCGTGGCAGGTGTACCGTATTGCCCATGCGCCTGGAAAGGGCAACGTCCATGTAGTCGAGAAGACCTTCGAGGGACCGTTCGAATTTGATGTCATCTTTTCATCGGGATCTGGAGGCAAGGAGTTTACTTCTGAGGAGGTTACTGAACAGATCGAGAAGACTTCAGAAATCTTCAACGAGCGCTTCACCAATACATTCAAGCTCAAGGAGCCTTTCACACAGGAGAAGTACAAAAGGTTCGGCAAGAGCATGCTGTCCAATCTCATCGGCGGCATAGGGTACTTCCATGGTCACCAGCTAATTGATCGATCGTATGCGCCTGAGTATGAGGAGCAGAACGACGGGTTCTGGGAGGAGGCCGCGCAAGCCAAGGCCCGCACACAGCCAGAACTCGAAGGCCCCTATGAGCTCTTCACTAGTGTTCCTTCTCGCCCTTTTTTCCCCCGCGGTTTTCTGTGGGATGAAGGATTTCACCTGATTCCCATTGCCGAATGGGATATTGACCTCACACTTGAAATTGTCAAGAGCTGGTACAACACTATGGACGAAGATGGCTGGATCGCGCGCGAACAGATTCTTGGTCACGAGGCCAGGAGTAAAGTCCCCCCTGAGTTTCAAGTGCAATTTCCACATTATGCCAACCCCCCAACCCTCTTTCTTATCATTGAGGGCTTCATGGAGCGCCTTCGCGCATCAAACGGAACCCAGAGCGAGGCAAAGGAACGTATTCTGGGGGCCGATCCTCTGCAAACTGCTCACCTTGACAATATCGAGCTCGGTGAGAACTATCTTCGAAAGTTGTACCCCCTTTTGAGACAACAATATGACTGGTTTCGCAAAACTCAGCGAGGGGACATAAAGAATTATGACCGCGAGGCATACTCAACCAAGGAAGCATACAGATGGAGGGGCCGTACTGAGACTCACATCCTCACCAGTGGCCTGGACGACTATCCTCGACCTCAGCCCCCTTCACCGGGCGAGCTGCACGTCGATCTCATGTCCTGGGTTGGGCTGATGACAAAGTCGTTGATGAACATCGCAGACGCCCTCGGCATGGCCGAAGATGTGAATGAGTATAGAAAGAACTTGGATGGCATCGAGCACAACCTCAATGATCTCCACTGGTCCGACAAGGAGGGTTGCTATTGTGACGCAACGATCGATGATTACGAGGAACACGCGCTCGTATGCCACAAGGGCTATATTTCCCTGTTCCCTTTCCTGGTCGGCCTGATGAAGGCTGACAGCCCCAAGCTGGGCAAGATTCTTGAGCTGATCGGTGACGAGGAGCACCTCTGGAGCCCCCATGGCATTCGCAGCTTGAGTAAACAGGATGAGTTCTACGCCACGGGCGAGAACTACTGGCGCAGCCCGGTGTGGATGCCCATCAATTACCTGGCTTTGTCTCAACTACAGGTAGGATTCCCCCCAGATGTACTTGGCGAAGTAGTACAAAGACTAACATGTGCATATAGAACGTTGCTTCGCAGGAAGGCCCCTACAGGGGTAAAGCGAAGGATCTGTTCAGGCGTCTCCGTAAGAACCTTGTTGATACCGTGTACAAGAGTTGGGAAGAAACAGGCTTCGCCTGGGAGCAGTACAACCCCGACACGGGTGCCGGCCAGCGAACACAGCACTTCACTGGATGGACTAGTCTTGTCGTCAAGATCATGGCTATGGAAGATCCTGGTCAGGAGGCTCATGCCAAGGACGAGCTGTGAATGGGGCAGAATGTAACAAGGCAATGTAGGACTGCTTTGAAAAGGGTGTTATGTGTATTGTGATATGCCAATTGAAACATACCGGCTATTGGTCAATGGTTAGTTACAGCCAAGACATACATCGTAAAACAATCCCACGGCTCGTACCGCATCCTCAGGCCATGCAGGCTTTGTGAAGCTTGGGGGCTATGAGGCTGGGAACTGGGATCGAAACATTCTACCATGTTAGGCAATTCAGGAGCGGAGCCTCCAAACTCTGTTTTATTGAATCTGTGCGACGGATGGCTGTGATTTGATGCCTGGTGCCTAGTGATGGCTCAATGGATGCAGATCGGTGACTGTGGTATGTGCTCCATACGGATCGACAGGCTGTCAACGTCTTAGAGGCGTCGGCGGAACTTATTCAAATGGCCGAAGGGTGTCGATGAAGTTGAAAAAGAAAGGATGCTTGCGTTTAGTCAAATGAACGTCAGCGGGTTTCTAGCAATGTCACGATTTTGCATCAGTTGCCAGTCATAGTCTACCGGCTTGCTTCCGGGACGATAGTAGGTGCCGAGACATAAGCCGCAGATCCGTAGATGCAACCATTCTTAGAAATGCCCAGAATTGCTTGAGTGCATGAGGTTGATAGATCGTGTATAGCTTCAACGTGAACAGGCTGCAACCCGTATTGGTGGAACTTGAGCTTCCACGCCCAAGGGAACCCTCCGGTACAACTGACAGGCGTTGCAATCCTTCCCGAGACATGGCTCAGGGGAGTAAGCAGAAACAAGACAGCAGGCAAGGATCTGGAAAGCTATATCCGTAATGTCTCAGAGGTAGCCGAGTCGGCAGAAACATGGTTCATGTCTTAGGTCTTAGGCGGAAACAGTAATACAAGAGCCTGGTCTAGGTTGCAAGGCTGATTTCCTGGATAATGCCTCGTGGTGTTGAGTGTACCGTCTAAGCCTGGTGATTGGATCAATTGGAGCCTGTCCGGGGCTATGCAGCGAGCTACCGTAGCGAAAACGGTCAGATGAAGCGACAGCGCGCCAATTGGCCAATAACGGTGTTGTTTCTATTTTTAAGGCGCTTAAACTTGACCAGGGTTATATGCATGCGGCGGGTGAGGTTGGTGTACCATTGCGGCTGTTTGTAAGAATTCGAGACTAGACGGACATCATGATGTGATTGAAATGTGATCTTCGATCGCGAAATGTTTCCATTGATAGAACAAGCGTAGCATTGGCGATTCTTGGGAGCAAAAATGCGTCAATGGTTCGGCCTTTCAGCTCGTTGGTCAGTCACAGCAGGCGCTTAAGATGGGTGCTTGGGGGTCTGGCCAATGAGAAGCGGTACCAGAGATCTCAGTGAGAATCGAGAACCCCCGTCGAGTCTCAGTATCGAGAGGAGTTGGATGCTCAGAAATTAGGTCCCAAGGGATTGGGAGGGCCCGCGCTGGCCGGCGAAAGGGCCTGAACCTGAACCTGACTGACGGGTAAGACCAGATGCCGTGCCGACCGGAATGAAGGAGTCCCGGTGACCCAATAGGCTAGTGTGCGAGTGATAGTAAGGTCAGAAGGGGCTGTTCGACGATTACCTCATGGGAGTGAGTGTGGGTGATAGAGTGCGCGTGGTGTAAGTTGAGGTTGTCTCGATTTGAACGTGACGTTTCATTCTTCTGCCCCCACGAGACCGATTGAGTAACTGCAATACTCGGGAACCTGACAAGGTTCTTTTGTTGGATTCAATAATCAATTGACGGTGCAAGATGAGTCATGATAAGAGAGAGAGTTCATGTTTAGTAAGAAAGGCGGAATATGCAGAGGGTGACTCTTCGGTGATGATGATGATGATGATTAGGGGAGAGGGCCCTGGAATCTGGGGCAGCTTGTTCCTTCGGTAGGCGGAAACACGGGCTTGACCGATGCACGCCAATGGGGAAGTCGCGTCATGGCTTCTGTGGCTGCATCCGCCATTTGCGGCATGACAAAGCGGGATGACAGAATAAACGGTGCAACTTGCTGACTTATTCGCTATCGTGATGCCTCATGTAAATGTCTTGTCTTTTAGGCAACCTTTTAAACTTATCAAGAGGGCCCATGTGACGAGAAATTGCACCTTGGAAGCTTCTTCTCTGTGCCTATTGCGATATGGGACGCGCATGCAGTCAAGTACACGTTGGCACATTCAACGAATTTCAACCGGGATTAATTGGAATTTCTTTGTCTACTCCGTCCGTACCGTGTCTCTTCTCTACTAAACTCCATGATTGACTCCGGACCTAGGCAGTCGGAGTTTCGATTGAATTGGAATCACACGGCCTCATTTGTCAGCTTCGATGACGTTTCTGCGTTGCAAATCCGCAATTATCTTGACATTGAGACAGTACCAAGAGTGCGGAATAGTACCTACCTACTAGGTAGGTAGGTATGGATACGAATACTATGCAGTAAGGTATCTTGGAGGTGCGTATTTACGTATCTAAGCTCCGTCTCCGACTCCACACCAACTCTCCAAACTCATTGACATGTCTGTTATCTTGAACAATTGCATCGTTGGGGGTCAAAAAATTACATCTACCTATTCTGCATCTGCTCCAGGTCCAAGTCCATGGCCAGAGCCGTGGAGGATGATTGATTACATGGGACAGGGGTGTTCGTTTGAGGCTGTGGCTTATTATAACGTATACCCTGCCCAAGCCCCGTAAGCCCATCAATGGAACGGGCAGTCAAAAGACTCACTCAGTAAGGTAAGTAATACATACAGTACAATACGCAGCGACTTGACTGGATACGGCCCGGGTCTTCCGCACCCCGACCCGACCCCTACCCCGGGTACCGTGGGCGTGGCTACTTATTAACTTACACCGTTTGACCAAGGACCCCTCTAACTGCAAGGTCCGTCCTCAGCCCTACGATGGTGTCCTCCACCACTCACGGCTTTGATGGATCCCCTGTCAGCATCGGCGACATGGCGCAGACTGACGGAAGCGAAAGAAGGTTCCATGGCATCCATGACAAGGGCACTGCTGTAGTCTACCTAGCACGATACGCTATGTAGTGTGTTTCTATTTTGTTGCCCCCATGCTAAGGGTGTGCTTGCTTGATCGTCATGATACGACAACACAGACGAACGAGCGAACGAGCGAACGAACGAACAGGCGTCAGTCAGGGTCAGCCGCTTCCACCGTCTACCGAGAATCCCTATCTGCGATGTGCTTAGTTACCCTTGGCTTCGTTCTGTAGTTGACTCACTTTCTATATAACTGTCCATGTCCTCCTCCTCTAAATTAGATTTCTCATCATCACCAACAACCAGTTTCATCTACACTCTACAACTACAACTACACTACACTACAACTCAACACTTATATACAACAACTCAGCTCTCTCAACTCCTCAACTCAACTCAACTTCTATCTTCATCCAAAAGTCACACTCAACTCTGCTCTGCTCTACTCTACAACATTTACAATGGCTGCTTTCACTCTCACATTTGCTCCCACTACCCGATCCTTCGGCCGATCTGGCTACAACAAGGACGGCGACGACTCTGACTCCAAGCCCACAAACAACCGTGGTCGATCTGGCTACAATGACCCTGAGGAGGGAGACTCTGGTCGCTCTGGCTACAACGGTCCTGAAGACGATGATTCCTCCAAGGGCAACAAGGGTCGCTCCGGCTACAATGGTCCCAGCGACAACGACGAGGAGTAAACCCCTTTGTTACTCTCGAGTCACTTCCCAAAAGCATACACAGCGACAGCGCAAGCATGGAATGGAGTTTTCTGTTTAGACACTAGTTTCAACAACATTTGCATGGGGCGGAGTTTTGTTTTGTTCTCAGCATCAGCATTGGTATTCGGGGGAACAAGTTGCAGACACGGCATCGCATAGCGGGAGTTGGAAAAGATGGAAGCATAGCATTACACAGCGTTTGCATGGCATGGTATAGAAGCGAGCATACAGTATGGATTTCATTTTGCTTTATTTTCTCATCATCTCATCTCAATTTCATTTTCGCTTTCTCTTTTCATAACCGGCTAGACCAGGCCCAGGTGGCCCAACTTTGAGTCTTTCAATTTATTTAGACCAGATGCTCTCTATAGAATATTCCTCGATGGAAAATATATTTCGACTCTCCTACCAATCTCTATTGCTGTAGTCTTGGACACACGGTTATTTCCCCACACAGAATCTAACACGTCTCAAAATCAGCATCTTGTCAGACATCTCACACATAAATCTGTCAGAACTTACTTTTCAAAGATAACACCCAATACATCCTCAACATCTCCAAAGTCATCCCGCCCTGTGATCCGTGCGAGGCAATTTGCCGCATACCTCAGATACTCGGCCGCGAGCACGGCATCGGCGTCCAGGCCCTCTTCAGGGGTAGCCTCCATCATGAAGTCCTCCAAGTGTCGACGACACTTGACCAGGAGCTGGCGCTGGCGCTCTGTAACGCCTAGCAGATCCTGGAGATCGACGGGCATGGATGTCATTTTCTCAAAGGATGCCACGAGCTTGGTGATCACAGCCTGGATCCCGCCAGGATCCTTGCTCTCCCTTGTCCCTGTCTGAGCCTCCTTACACGATACCGACACGAACTCCGCCGCCGCTAGTTTGGGGGCTCGAATTCGAACTGTTTTTCTAAAACCCTGAACCAGCTTCTCAAATTCTTCCTTACCGACTGCATCTTGTTTATTGACAACGACAACACAGTCCTCTGCCCCTGCCGCGAGATCGAGCGTTTCTTGGTCGTATTGCAAAAATGGCCCATCCAGGCCATCTTCCACGGATGCTAGGACTATAACAAGGTCAGAGTCCAGAGCTCGTTGCTTTGCTCGCCGTATGCCTTCTTCCTCCACGGCCCCAATTGCGCCACTATCTGCCCCATTGATCACCTGGGGACCTTTGGAACGAAATCCTGCCGTATCTGCAAATGAACATAAATAGCCGCGAATGTCTAAGCTTGCCTCGACGATATCTCGCGTTGTGCCTGCTTCACCGGACACAATAGATGCCTCGCGCCCAACGATCAGGTTCATAAGCGAGCTCTTACCAACATTGGGTGGCCCTAACAGCGCAATACGAATTCCGTTCCTCAAAAGCTCGCTCCTTTGACTTCCCTGCTCATGCAGCTCAATGCTGTGTAGCATCCTAGCGACTTGCGCAGTCACGTTCTGTAACAATTCAGCTTGGGACTCGTCGAAGTGCTGGTCTTCGGAAAAGTCAATCAAAGCTTCGATCTCGCCCCGAGCCAACAAGAGCTGCTCTCTCCATGTCTCGTATTGTCGTCCAAGAGCACCTGAATTGCCTCGCACAGCTGCACGACGTTGCTGTTCCGTTTCAGCAGCCAGGGTGTCACTCAGGGATTCGATTTGAGCAAGATCTAGGCGGTTGTTGAAAAAGGCGCGCTTCGTAAACTCGCCAGGCTCTGCGTATCGAATACGATGTGCAGCGGAACATTTCGGAATGGCTGCTAACACAGCTTTTACGGTGGCTGATCCTCCATGAACGTGCAACTCCAAGACATCGTCACCAGTTACAGTCTTGGGGTTAGGAAAATAAAGAACAAGAGCTTCTGAGTCCAGCACTATCGGTTCATTATTGGCATGCTGGGGGTCATATAGGGACCGTACTGTTGCATATCTTGGTCTTGGTAATGGTTTTGATGGGCAAAGTGCCTCGTAAATCTTGAGGCCAAAATTAGATACTGTATATATAGTAATTTGTATGACAATTACCTCAAGGCATGATGGGCCAGAAATGCGAATTACCGCAATACCGGCCCGACCCTGCGCCGTTGATAGAGCATAGATGGTGTCGTCTATGATTGGTAGCCCGGAGACAGATTCAGAGTTTTGAATATGCCACGACTGATGCGAGAACGGCTTCGTTGACGAGGTAATAGAATACCGCAAACGTTGTGTCAAATTTTCGTCGTTGCACTTCCTTATATAGAATGGCGATAGGAAGACTCGAGAGCGGTTCGCTTTGCAATTGAGTCTCCGAAGGAGACTGCGTCTCAGCATCGGCGAAACGAATGCTAGTGAGATGCTCAAACTTGTTCTAATTTTGATGTACTCTGGTTTTCTCAGTAAAAGGCGACTGACGCCGTATTTGGAAGAAATAAATTAAATGAGTATTGGCTGAGTTTTCCTGGCTGAAGACAGGACAAAAGAAAACCCCCAGGTTGATTCCATGTTATAGCGCTCAGGGCCCACTGATCGTTCCCAACTAACTAATCCACTGAAACGCATATCTCAGGGCCAGGGTGATGGTTTGGATGTTAACATCAGGCACCTAGGGGACCATCACCGATACAAGCTGTTTAAGCAGAGCTGCTTTTATTGCGCTTCATTTATTTGATTCTTTTTCTTTATTCTCATGGAGCATGTTGAATTCAACATCCATCTAGGTTGACTTTTATCCTCGATGTCGTACACGCATCTAATCAATTCCATAAATCCTCAAACCATTCAATTCAAACTCTTCATGATTGGATTTTTTAAGAGGTAGCAAACGTCTCGATGAACTTGGCAAGCTTTTCTGCGCCCTCTAAGGGAATTGAATTATAGCTGCTGGCACGAATGCCACCCACGCTTCGGTGACCCTTGAGGCCGGTGAGACCCTGCGAAGTGGCCTCCTTAAGGAAAGCCTTTTCCGTAGCATCAGTGTCGCCATTTTTGGTAACCCGGAAGCAGATGTTCATCCGTGAACGAACAGACTTGTCAGGGACAACTCTGTACACCTCGGGGTGAGCGTCAAGAGCACCGTAGATAAGCTCGGCCTTCTTGGCGGACACGGCCTCCTGCCCCTCGACCTTGTTATAGGTGCCGAGTGACTTTTTGAGAACTTGGCCTGCAATATAGACACTAAGTCTAGTCAGTATATGTATCGCACGTGTCCTATAGAAGCGCTTACTCGAAGATGCTGAGGGTATTGTAGAGACTGTTGTTCTTGGCGATAGTCTCGTAAGAGAAGATGATAGGAGGGATAGGAAGTCCAAGTCGTCGAAGAAGTGCGGCAGGGGGCTGAGGTGTCTTGGGGGGAAGAAGGCTCTTCTTGATAATCACAACGGTGACACCAGTGCAACCGAGGTTCTTCTGGGCGCCGAAGAAGACAACTGAGAAGTTTCGGACAGGGATTCTCCTCGACAGGATGTTGGAGGACATATCGGCCACAACAATAGGGCCCTCGCCGTCAGGTCCAGGGGTCAAGGACTGGGGGAAAGCCGGAAATTCTACACCATCGACGGTCTCATTGTCGCAATAATACACCAAAGCAGCATCCTTGGAGAGGTTCCAGGTGCTTTCCTCGGGGATCTTGCCATACTTGCCATTGTTAATCTGACGGGCATCAGCGGCAATGTTGACATGCTCAGGACCAAGCAGTCGTTTAGCTTCTTCAGAAGCCTTCTGAGACCAGCCACCAGTGACAATGTAATCCGTCTTGAGCTCCTTCTCGACTGCATTCCTGAGCTCCTGCTCAACACGAGGGTCGTCTTCAGGAGCCTTGAGATTGGCAACAATCTGGGCCTTCTTCTTTGTCACCCATGCACCGACAAGGTTGTACAAGGTAGCGGAGAACTCTCCACTTCCACCACCCTGCATGAAAAGAACCTCATAGTCCTCGGGAATGCCAATGTAAGAGGCAAGATCAGCCTTTGCCTCGTTGATGATGTTTGTGGCCAGCTCTGAACGATGGCTGTGCTCAGCAATACCTTGTCATTTGTTTAGTGACGTTGACCACAAATTCTGAGATCTTGTATGTACCTAATCCGGTATGCTCATAGTCAATGAGGGCCTGAGCAGCCCTCTCAAGGACATCTGTGGGCAGCAGAGCAGGGCCTGCGCCGAAATATGTGATCTCAGATCTGGAAGGCATGATGTTGTTGCGTTGAGAGACGAGAGAGTGAATATGCAAGAGGATAAAAACTGGAGTTGTCTAAAAGTCGCGGGTATTTACTGTAAGTCACAGTGAGTCATCCAATAGAAATGCCCACAAGAGGGATCCGATATTCAACGTATGACTCTGAGAAGGTGAGTTTTTGGTATGACAAGAGCGAATTTGAAGAAATGAGGGGTATATATCTAGCAGTCAAAAATTGACAGGTCTTGTTCAAATGCTCGATAATCCAACAGATTGGTGAACCGTGATGGCTGTGAACTGCAATCGTTATTCGCTGAGGCTAAAATGGCCATCAAATGTGGTGGCTCCGCACCAATTGGGGGTTTTACTAGGCTGGCCCAGCAGATATTTGAACGTCCATCGAGCAATCAAGCCTAGGTATCTAGTCATATTTGGGATATGAAAAGCGGTGCCAGTAACTATGGTTGTTCTGAAGTGTGTCGCCTCAGAAATTGCTTTGCCGGACATGCCTAATGAGTCCAACGCGGACTGTCGAAGAGCAGCAGTAACCTGATGACCTTTAGATGAGAGCTGCGATTATTTACACGAGAATATCAAAGTCTCAAAAACATACATCTTTACAACAGAGGCCCCCTTAGACCAGATAAGTGCAATAATCCGCGAAAGAGCGTGCTTATAGGAAGGAAATATGTTTTCTTTTTTTCCAGGCCTAGACCACCAATATGCTTCAACGATTTAATCAAGTTCTTCATTCATATACATCATTAGTAACGGCTCCAAGTAACAGTAATTGGCTCATAAGGCAGATGTATCCTTCTAACTACTAATAAGGTAGCTTTCCAAATCGGAGTAACGGCTTCTCTTGCCCACTGTTATTAATGGCAGTATGCTTTTCTGGTTCAACACTTATGGCAACTAAGAGCTTTGCCACATTGTACTCTTCTGGAATTGTAGTTCTTTCAGGGCAAATGAGACAAATAAGCTCCAGACCTGTCCCGATTTCTCTTAACAGTAAAGTCAGGCGCAGTTTGGCAATATACAACCTTGCAGGGACAAGCCAGAGTTCTCATCAAGTAACTTCAAAATATTGCAGCAAAGGCCTCTCCGTCAGCTGAAAGATAAGTGAACGAGTTAAACTTGCCACATCCCGGGCGGGATTCAGAACGATGACCACAGAGCATCAACAGCATGGGACTGGCAGATTTAAGGAGAACTGATTGGGGATGCACGAGTAGGCAGCCGGGTGGTTGAGGGTATATCACACCTAGCGCGACTCGGTGATTCCATAACTCAACTTGACCCTTTCCTATGGAGCCAGAGATTCGGCGTGGGGTGATTCTTCCAATATTCCCTTCTTTTTGAGCCTATGAAAAGGGTCAATTATGAAAGATGCATTCCAAAGAACACGATTTGTATTTCACTCGGTCTCCTTGGTTTTTTTTGGTTGGAGAAAACAAAGAGCCTTAATAAAGACCCAATGTCATCATAGAGCTATCCGATTTAGCAGGCGGTGTGGCGGGTCATCCACGGCGGAATGGAAGGCTGCAGGTCCCAGCGCAACCACCCAGGCTACGAAGCTTGAGCTGCCTGGTGCTCAACCACCTCAACTCCATCCCGACCTACCTAGGTATACTAACAACCAACGCCCAAAATCCACCTCCCAACGAAGCTCTCCATCGCAACCCACACGCATAACGATATTTGCTTCGCGCAATCTCACCGATCACATTCTACGCGGCGCTGCCAGAGCAGCTAATAATTCATCATGTTCAGAAACAACTACGATAACGATTCCGTTACCTTGTACGTCACCTAAGCTGTAAGCTTCATCCTGGCACCTTGAGCAAGCTGACTCTCCCCAAGCTCGCCCCAGGGCCGAATATTCCAGATTGAATATGCTGCTGAGGCAGTGAAGCAAGGTTCAGTCGTCGTTGGTATCGCCAGTAAGACCCATGCTGTTCTATGTGCTGTCAAGGTTCGACCATCTCCCTGCCCCTCCATAGCATTCTTGTCCCGTACGGGAGCTTTAGAAGTCAATCTTCTAACACGCACCTTCTTAGCGAAACGCAGAGGAACTCTCATCCTACCAGAAGAAGCTTTTCACTGTCGACGAACATGCTGGTATCGCCATCGCCGGTCTCACTTCCGATGCTCGCGTCCTCTCCAACTTCATGAAGCAGCAGTGTCTAGGACACCGACTCACCTACGGCCGTGCCATTCCCCTCCGATCCCTTGTCGACATGATCGGTGAAAAGGCCCAGATGAACACTCAAATGTACGGAAAGCGACCTTACGGTGTTGGTCTGCTAGTCGCCGGTGTTGACGAGCGTGGTCCCCACCTGTTCGAGTTCCAGCCCTCAGGCATGACAGAGGAGATGCTTGCTTTCGCCATTGGCGCGCGAAGTCAAATGGCTCGAACATACCTTGAGCGCAACATCGACGAGTTCCCCGACTGCTCAAGGGAGGAATTGGTCAAGCATGGTCTTAAGGCTCTGAAAGAGAGTTTGGTTCAGGACAAGGAGCTTACAGTAGAGAACCTTTCAGTCGGCGTAGTGGGCATCAACACAAAGGACGGCAAGAAGAAGGTCGAGCCCTTCAAGCTGTACGATGGATTCGAGGTACAGCCATGGATCGAGAGCGTTGGCGAGGGCCAAGGAGGTGCAGAGGAAGGCGAGGGTGAGGGCGAGGGCATGGATGTGGACAGCTAAACGTGTGACGAATGATGAAGCGGATGCACGTGGTGTCGGGTTACTAGCTAAATAGATCATGTACAAT